AAACCATTTGAACAATCGATGCCTAGTAACCGTGAGGAGATCCGTATCAAATGTCGGAACAAGTCAAAGTCAAAGGTGTACGTTGCTCGCTCATCTATAATATAGTTACTTACCTGATCACCCAGCTTGGACAATACCAGTAACCTCAAACCGGTGCGCTCGGTGCGAGATGTGAACAGACGCAAAAAACAAATGGTATGTTGTCTTGTTCATTTCGGCAGCACCTCATAAGGCTAAATGATCTTGATCAAGGGCCAGGCTATGCGATGACATCGACGCCAGCCTGCAGTCCTTATTGGGTCGTCAAGCACAGCATTGGTCACCTGTTCCTTTGCTGAATGATGAACAGAATTATACCGAGACTTACGGAATTCTCTCAACCTCTTTGGAGAGCTTCATGAGGCCACAGGATGGACTTTCAGTGTCCTGCTTGGTGGCCCTGACCCATCAAATGAAGGTGCGATCGACATAAGCAGCTTACATGTAGGGTCAACAAAGCTCGGTAACCGCTTTAACCACGTCTTTTCAAAGTTCAACGAGAATGTTATGCTGCCCTACTATGAGTTTGTTTCTCATGTTTTCCGTATGTATTCAACTATTCAATTTTTTTAAACACTGTGCTAATGATATATAGCTGAAGCTGGGACTTCAAATAAAACAGTTGCCCAGAGTCTTGAGTGTGAAGATCTCCGCATTTCTGCCGCTCCAGACGGTATTCCCACAAACAACGATTCTCCAACACCTACAACTGTAGCACCTGATACATTACATGGTTCACACCCTGCATCCTTACAGCCAGACTCAGTATCTAACTTCCCTTCCACGCGCCTAGCGCAAGAAGAGGTAGTCCCTGCACCACCTGAAGAGGATTACTTGGATTTTTTTCGACACCTGCCCCCCGCTCCCCAAGACAATGAGATCGACCAACAGATGAACATGCTCCTCTCCATGATGGAGGGCTATGTACCCTTCTGTCCACCACTGCTAGCACCACTCACTTTAGACCCTATGTCTGCCTCCACCGCATTTCTCAATCTGGATTCAAATCTTGAGAGTTTTGATGAGGCTCTCAAATCCATGCAGTCCCAGAAAACCAACACGTGAATGGTCTGTTCTCCTCCCCACATTCATTATAAGTTCGACAGTCTAGTTAAATCATCTTTACCCATGGTGACTGCCTCTACCACACCCACTTTGACTCCTTCCCCACCTTTTACCATGCCCTGCCATCACTCCTTGCACCACGCCGGTCGTCACACCTTACACCACACCTACTATCACCCATTCACCTGCAACTCCTTTTACCACGCCCGCCATCACTCCTTGCACCACGCCGGACATCACACCTCGCATTACACCGGTCATCATACCTCGCACCACACCCGCCATCACCCATTCACCTGCGGTCGGGTCTTCCACCACACCTGCTACCACACCCATGCCAGTTGCACCCACAACTACCATACCCGCTACCACACCCTCGCTAGCTGCACCCACAACTATCATACCTGCTACCACATCTTCCTCGCTAGCTGCACCCACAACTCTTGTAACACTGGGAACGACGCCTCCAGAGCTTATTTTTGGGATGGGAGCCAATGCTCAAAACCCCAGCAATTTTGTAGATGAACGTCCAGCAAAGTGTCAGAAACGGGCTTCATGCGCACATGCAGGAGAGACAGATCTGCCACAGGCTGTCTCCTCCGGCCGAGGGAAACAACAACAATTTCAATCCACTCGAGCTGCTGCCGCCAATGCAATTGGTTAAGCATTGGTTGAACTAATAATGTATATAGCATATATCTTGAAATTTAATTGTCTTGAGTGAAAAAGTACCAATGCTGACTTCAATGAGCGGCGTGATTGACTTAAGCTCTCCAAGCCACCCGCAAAGTGCCGAAGAACTGTACAGTATTACCTCTCTGTTGTGGGCTGATCACGGGCAGATTAATCAACGAAAGCGAAGAGATTTCTAATAGAACACATGTACAGCGAGCACTACACACTACGTGAACAACACAAAATATATGCTTTAACTGATGTGCCTACAAAAGCGCGATTGGTGCGGCTCTTGCAACACAGGCTCAATCATCCTGCAAGGCGCACATATTGCGCTCATGAAGGATGCAACAGTTCCAGAGCTGTTGGATGTTGCGCCGGCCGCTACAGCCTGCAGCAGGGATGAAGCCAATGCTGGATTGGGTGAAGTAGTTGTGGTTGGTGCAATATCTGGGGGAGGAGTTAGTGCGTCGATAAAAACCCTGCCTCTAAAACATGGCATCGATGTAAGGCAGCACCAAATGGTAGGAAATTGGATGGTAGATCTGCAAGGGTGTTATTAAAATGATATTCAACCAAAGGAGGGAATAAGGGGTTGCCCCGTGCATACGGGCATTTACTGGGGGCCAGCACAGAGGCATTCTTCTCATTGAAGTGTGATGGCGTGTCGGGAAAACAGTGCACGTTGATCGATCTCTATCACTATTCACAGGTGGCAAATATTAGAGTCTCCTTGTCCTGCAAAATATCACCCCAATTAGAGTTCGTCTTCGAGTGAGATAACCGAGACTACATCGTCTGACGAAACAAGTAGCTCGAAATCTGACACGAAGACGAGACACAAACAATCTGCGAAAAAACGCAGGAGTAAGTCTAAGAAAGCTTTGAAAAAGAAAAAGCACTGAGGTCCAAGCCATGCATTGTCATCGATGGTGAGATACAGGTAAAAATTGGAAGACCCGGGACATTCAGCTAAGTTCCGTTCAGTTCTTGTACACCCAACCTAGCTCTCAAGCCACCCGCAAACTGCCGAAGAACTGTACATACCTCTGCGTGGGTAAATGTGCTAAATAAAACCCTGCATATAAATATATTGGCTAAATAAAGTCGGCTGACACAGAAAGAACCAAGGAACAATCGAAAGAACGGAGGAACAACCGAAAGAACGGAGGAACAATCAAAAAGAACCCAGAGAACCAGGAACAGGCTGGATGAAAGCATCATTTTCGGATTCACCAGTGATTCACCAGTGATACATCAGCCTACTACTGCCTGTAAGTACAGCAATTAATGTATTACATTTCTGCTACCACTGTAAGCTAGGTAATGTATTATTATCACAGTATAGCCTGATTTTATGGAAATTATCATGAATTAGCAGACCCTTCAGTCATTTTTCATGTAGAACCCCTGCCCTGGATGTGCCAAAAGGTCGTAGAATCATGGCTAGCCAGTCCTCAGCCGGTGCATGTAGAATAAGTGCTGGCCGGTGTACTATCTCATTATCACTTGAGTATCATTATTTTATGTAGGATAGGTACTGGCCGGTGTATAGTATATAACCATCTCTTTTGTCCTGTATGTAGGATGAGTGCTGACCGAGATATCATATGACATATACTAGCCATAGGATCAAGCTGGCTGGTATATGTAAGATATATCTACTACAGTCTGATTTCATTAGTAGACCGGCCAGCTTGTATCTACATGTGTAGGAGCTCAGCTGGCCAGTTTGGAGTTCTTAAGTCAATACTGGCCAGTGAGGCTCTGCAGTAAGTAGACCCATGGCTGGCCGGTCTGCTAATACTTCACTAGCAAACCGGCCAGTGTGGGTCTACGTATGTAGGAGCATGGCTGGCCAGTTTGTAGTCCTTAAGTCAATATACTGGCCATTGAGTGTACTAACCATAGGATCAAGCTGGCTGGTATATGTAGTCATTAGTAAACCGGCCAGCTTAAGTCTACGTATGTAAGGGCATGGCTGGTCGGTTTGCTAGTGAAATATTAGCAAACTGACCAGCTTGGGTCTGCATATGTAAGAGCATGGCTGGCCGGTTTGCTAGTGAAATATTAGCAAACCGACCAGCTTGGGTCTGCGTATGTAAAAGCATGGCTGGCCAGTTTGCTAATATTTCACTAGCAAACTGGCCAGCTTGTGTCTCCATATGTAAGAGCATGGCTGGCCGGTTTGCTAGTGAAATATTAGCAAACTGGCCAGCTTATTGCTGATCAATTTTGTACAATAATTATATTAACTTGTCAAGACTTGGGCGAGAATTGAACCATCAGTTGATGAGGTATGCATACCAGGCAGCCTAGTTCCTACATATGTAGACGAAAAAAGGCCAGTATACTAATGAAAAGTGATAATTTAAGAGCTCTACACTGGCCAGCCATGCTCTTACATACATAGACTTAAGCTGGCCGGTTTGCTAGTGCAATATTAGCAAACTGGCCAGCCATGCTCTTACAAACGTAGACACAAGCTGGCTGGTTTGCTAGTGCAATATTAGCAAACTGGCCAGCCATGCCCTTACAAACGTAGACACAAGCTGGCTGGCTTGCTAGTGAAGTATTGGCAAACTGGCCAGCCATGCTCTCACATACGTAGACCCAAGCTGGCCAGTTTGCTAATATTTCACTAGCAAACCGGCCAGCTTGTGTCTCCATATGTAAGAGCATGGCTGGCCAGTTTGCTAGTGAAATATTAGCAAACTGGCCAGCTTGGGTCTACGTATGTGAGAGCATGGCTGGCCGGTTTGCTAATATTTCACTAGCAAACCGGCCAGCTTGGGTCTATGTATGTAAGAGTATGGCTAGCCAGTGTAGAGCTCTTAAATTATCACTTTTCATTAGTAGACTGGCCTTTTTTCATCTACATATGTAAGGAGCTAGGCTGCCTGGTATGCATACCTCATCAACTGATGGTTCAATTCTGCACCCAAGTCTTGACAAGTAGATATAGTTATTGTACAAAATTGATCAGCAATGAAGACAAAGGAGGATATAAGATCAGTTCTGGGCTCTCTTAGAAAGTTGCCTCAGTCCTGCCTGATCTACGGACTTCAGGCTCAATCCTAGGCTTCTTAGACTCACTGGTCGAAGCTTGGGGCATTCTTCTCTTCCTCCCTTTCTGCACCCCCTCTCCAACTTCATCCTGCTCCTGCTCCTGCTCCTGCTCCTGCTGCTTCTCCTTCTCCTTCTCCTTTGTGACAACAACTTCCTCCTCCGTCACCTTGTTTCCAACTTCATCTTCATCCTCCATGTTGTTGTCCTTACCAAGTGCCTCTTTTGTCAGCTTCTCTATGTGCTCGACAACTGTGCACAAGACCTCCTGGACAACGCGATCGAGAGAAACCAAGAATTGTAGATCGAAAGCAGAACCAGGTAGGTAGAAAGGCATATTGGGGTCAGCCTCATCTTCCTCAAACTCTATGACTCGTTTAGACTCCCTATAGAGGAGCCCAATTCCTAGAATCACTGGCATGGCAGATGCTGCCCCTAAGATTGGAGATGTTCGCAGCTTATCCAAGCTGGCCTTCAAAGTGTCATATGACACATGCACGTCCTCAGGAAGATATGATCCTCCCCAAGACCAGTCAGCCCAGATAGGCAAATCTGCATTCTGCTCTGAAGTTGGCTATTGGATGAACTATGAGCTATGAGATTAAAATACATGCAAAGTTATACTGACCTTCTGATTGGCTAAGATTGCCAGATCCTTAATGGCGTCTACAAGCTCCAGGTAGTTGTCATTCTTGCTTAGAGATTCTAGGAATGTATATCGATCATTGATTGAAACATCGTCTGGGGTTGTGTCGGCCGGCTGGGATCTATGTTCTGTGAAATCAGAGCTGTTCAAGGAAGGAAGCCGGTCTCTGTCTTCTTCGTCTGAGTCAAGGAAGCGTACTCTTTTCTCCTTGGACTTCTTCTTTCTTTCTTCATTCCTTACATTTGCACGTACATCAGCATCCTTGGCTTTGATAAAAATGACTAGCTTCTTGTTTGCAGCCGAACATTGTTCCCAATGGTTCCATAGACGATTTACCTCCTCAGTCTTCATATGAGAAGGGTCTTTGACCACAAATGCAGTGGGAACAGAACCATGTTCCAAATAATTGGATGAGGCGGCAGATATCACACCCCAAGGCACAGGTCTAGAGCCCCCAGTGCAAACTTCTACAAACCAAAGCATCAATCAAATGCTACACAAATATGAAGACATAAGAACTTACTATACGAAGCATGAAATATACTTCTAATCAATTCGTGTTGGCCCTTAAGGCCAAGACCATCACGACTAGGAAGTTTGGCATATCCGTCGTCATCTAGGATAATTTCGGGTGTAGCAGGTTCATTGCCAGCATCCTCATTGTCTGAACCCTCGAGGTCCTGATCATCTGAAGGATCTATTAGTTTGAGTGAATAATTAGTGTTAGTGCCCGTGCAAGATTCAAATTCCAATTAGCCACATACAAAATTCGGTCTTTGACCATTCTGCAAAGGATTGATATCCAGTTGCAGTCCACTCCTTGATCCCATTGGAGCTGACAGAGAACCTCTTCTTGACATTTCGAGGGTCGGTTTCGTGTCTGAGACATAGTCATTAGTTAGTCTAGTTAGCCTTGAGAATGACGACAGATCAATCACTTACAGACTGACAGACAGTTTCTGCCTAGCTTTTTTCTTGTGACTCACGAACATCACCACTCGACAACCCATAGTACGTCGGATTTGCTCTGAAAAGTCTTCAAGTGTTTTCTTGAGGTTGTTCTTCCGATACCTTAAGGAAGATCTTAGACGAGATCAATATTAAATTTTAAGTCAAACTTACACTGCTTGAGTTTCTTCTGGTGCCCCCTCCCTATTCCATTTTGTCATCGCGAACTTGACCTCCTTCTGTTGTGAAGGCGACATGTTGTCAAACCATTCCCTGGCATGGCCTGTCCGATACTTTATTGACTGTTCCAGGCCTTTCCTTTGCTGCTCAGCCTTGTCAAATGCGTCCATTTCTTCCTTGAACAATTTCTGTGCGACGCCCCATTCGGTAAGTGATTTCTTGTAGAAGGATGCTTCTCTTGGACGACTTGCGGCCTCTCATTCCTCGGCCTCTTCCTTGTAGGCGATGATTTGGGCACAGTATTGTTTTATTTCCTGTATGTAGCATTCACCCATCAATCAAATGGATCTACATACAAAATTAAAATTTTGTTACCTTTTTCAAAGAAGTAGGCAAGGGCACGTCTTCGTCTTCAAGTTCCTTTTGGGCTTCCAGTATAGCCTTACGAATTTTCTTCACCATACGTTTGAGAGCCTGCGGTGATTCTGCAGTCACAACATCTTGATGATAATGATCAAGAATATATTCAAAGCGAGTTGTCCAGTCAGAAGACATTGTAGTTCAGTCAAAAAAACAGGCTGCAAAATTTGATAGAGCTGACGAGTACTTGTGGTAGGAGGGCGGCTGGCCGACAAACTGATTTGAATCCCATATTTAGGCACTGTAACATTAATCATATGACCATATTAAGATTATTTTCAACAATCAACAATCAGTTCACGTGATCATATTCGGCGCGTGATTTAATCATGTGACCGTGTTTGAACCACTTAAATTTTGAAGTCGTCAAGGGCTAAGGCAAACAACTGATATTCAAGGTCATGAGAACAAGCAACTATATACCATGTAATCCAAAACATGTAAAAGCAAATCTAACATGGGTAAAAAGTAAAAAAAATGCGATGAAATTCAACCCAACACAAGAAGGTTGGCCTTCACACCAACTGCAATCCAGCAGGAACCACTCTTTCTGGCATGAGATAGGATCACAGAGTCCTCTGGGGGGCTGAAGAAATACCCTTTCCTGCACTTTGAGTTCATGCATTCAAATGAGTAGGTCTTCTTGTGGTTGGCTGAATGCCAAGAATTAGCCCATCCACACTGAGGGCATTGGAGTGGAAGATGGTGGCCCCAAGGGCGTTCCTTGCAATGCGTCCATGCAAATCTAGTGATGTCCAAGGCGCAACCAGCATTAGTCATCAATAAGAACACGTCAGTGTGTCTGCCAAGTTTATAGGACTGCATAAGCATGTCCGGAAAAACTTCGCGAATAGGCAGACATTCAGTCAGGACGAGTTCTGCAAACGCTAGAAGAAGAGGAGCCGCAAAGGTTGGCTGGAAACAGATGGCATTGAAGCAGATGGTAGCTGTAATGTGATGACTGGCAGTATGCACCAGGTCAGGCTTTGCAGAAGTGCAGGATGATAGTGGTACTTACTGAAGGACGGCCGTTTGCAAGGACGAAAAGGACTCTTCATTGTTAATCAGAGCGCCACAAGACAAAAACCATAGGTAAGAGTCTTTGGCAGATTTGATGAGTGGCTGCCATGGTGTGAGGATGATGTCCAAAAACTGTACGTAGAACGGTGAGCAAACGGCATGTCATAAAAGACACTACTCACACTGTCGACTCAGCCAGACACATATGATTTGTTCTTCGTCTCATAGCCCAGGAATGGGTCTCCGAGAGCATCGTCAGTATGATTGGAGATTGCGAACACAATGCGGGGCCAGTGGCGCTGAGCCATTAGGCTATGGACCAATTCGCCCACCTTGACTTGGTACCCGTTGCTCTTTAACTTGGAGCCGACGTCAAAGATGAGTTCGTGGAAAGCGATACCTCCGCATGGAAAGTAGGGGGAGAGGAACCGGAACATGAGGTCGAAAGGTCCACCGGAAGTTTCAAAGTCGACAAGTGTGAGGTGGATTAATATCACAGGTGTGGAAGAAATCTGCGATTGCAGAGATACTTCCAGCGCACTGCGGATTGGGAGGAAGGTGGGCAAAACCGGCAAATTGTTCCTGTAAAATCCCTACATAGCATGTTAAGACACAACTACAGAAGAAAAAAGGACTTATGAAGTAGGCGGTGCGTGTTTCTTCTGCGTGAGGGTCTTGTGCTGCCAAGTGGCAAGATATACAAGTGAATGTGACGTCGTCGCAGTTGACAAGCGTCAGGCGTGAGCGATGGGAATGTCGACTGCAGCGAGAGCACATTGTGCGGGGACAAAGGTCACACAAGTACAGAAACTCGTGGTCACTTGAACCATCGCGGCAGACAATACACCACTGTAAAACACGCAGATTAGTTATTTACAAGATATGGGGTCAGTACTTACCTCATTGTGACCTGACTGCACCTCACAAGCTACCATCCCATCCACTTCATCTGTCTCGTCCACCTCATCTCCTCCCGTCTCCTCATCCGAAAACCGTCTCCTCCATTGCCAGATCGGAGTCGAGATCCACTGCCGATCGAAGAATCGAAGTCGAGCAAAGGTGCATAGTCAATGGTTATACGCTTGGCGGAGCCTCCAGTTGACTTCTTGCAGGTTTGCTTGGTGCGCGTCATTGCTGAGGAAAGAGGATGAGTGTCACAAGCAAAGACAGAGAAAGACTTACACACATTTTCCGCATGTAGTACAGAATAAACCAAAATACAAACTGGTTGGTAAGCCAAATAAAGACACGCGGTTGAATTAATACCAAGTGCCAAACAAGGACAAACGTACACACATCATATCAACACCAACTTCAATTCCCACGGTTCATTTTCTTCGCCCATTACCTTCATGTTCATTTTCTTCTTTGCCATTACCTCCATCACTTCCACTCCCATCAATCGTTCTCAAGGGCGCCTTCTGGTGTACCCTTTAGGTCTTTGCAGACTGCAGCTGCAAGGATCTAAAGGCAATGCAATGAAGTTGCCTTACATTAATGGTGAGTGCTTATTCTCTATTCACTCATTTACTAATTTTCTTTCTATGTTTATTTTCATCAAGGTGTTTTGGCGGCGCCTATGGTAAGTACTCTATACATTTGTTCTTTGGTGCTGACCACCTTTCATTTCAGCGCCTCTGTCTGTAGTGCTCCCTTGGGTCTTGGGGGTTAGTTTTGTGGCGGTTGTGTGGCACTGCGCCCCCTGCTTATCTTGGGTCTGGGGGTTTATTACTGACTTAGTCTTCTTTTCAGCTCATGTCTTGATTTTCTGGCGGTTGTGTGGCACTGCGCCCCCTGCTTCAATGTCTGTTGAGTCTGGGGGTTAGTTTGTTGGCAGTTGTGTGGCACCGCGCCCCCTGCTTATCTTGGGTCTGGGGGTTTATCACTGACTCCGTCTTTTTTCAGCACTGGTCTTGGCTTGGTTTGTTGGCGGTTGTGTGGTGCGCCTCTTGCTTCTCTTGTGTCTTGGGGTGGGTGTTTGTCACTGACTTCCTGTTTTTTTCAGCGCTTGTTCTTGGTTTGTTGGCAGTTGTGTAGTACTGCGCTCCTTGCTTCTCGCGTCTTGGCTCTGAGGGTTAGTTTGTTGCGGTTGTGGTAAGCGTTGTTTTTCTAATAAACGTCTGTCTAACACAGTTGTAGGACATATATTACAAATTTTACTACTTAGTATTCTCTTCGAGCGTGAGGCTTTGGTGAGGAGGGCTCCCTCATCAAAGTCTCACAGCTTGCCTTTGACTTCAACTTTCAATTTTTGTATTAAATTTGTAGTAAAATATTTGCTTGTGTACTTCGCACTATTTCTTTGAATAGTATGCCAAAATGACGCGAATTGTTGCTAGTGGAAAAAGTCACGTGACCGTGTGCGTTTTCTTGGTACACTAGCTGCGCCAGTGGAAAATGAACTCAACATCAATGTTCTCAGTGAGAACTGCAAGTGTAAAATCTACAGAGATCATGTAAATAGCTTTAGAATCATATCAAATGGACAAAGCGACTGAAAAATCAAATGCAAAGATGCTTTATGAAATTGAAGCTTGGTTGATTCAACTTGAAGCACACAAAATAAAAGTAACCGATGTGAAACACCATCAAAACACTTTGTTTTGCATGCAACGCACAAGTTCACTAGCAGTACCTGCTGCCGTCACTACTACTTACTACTACTACTCCAAGAAGGCAAGCTTCGACAACTCTCTGCCTCGTCAAGTGCGCCATTTGGTGTGCTGAAAGTGCCGATCAGTAACATTTGAGACTCGATGTGCAGTACTGCGTACTTCCAGTCCCGTTCTAACTAAACTCCCAATGTTGACTTTGACTTTGATTTTTCAGATCACTTTTCCCTTCGCGACACCACACTGCCCGTTCCACTCATCACCCCATGTGTCTAAGTAAGTGCCTTCAGGTATCGCTAGCTTTTTGCACCATCGGCGCACTTTCTGGGAATGCTTTTGTGGTGTCGTGGAGGAGCGTCCAACTCCTGTTTGTTTTGTGGTGACGTCAATGGGATTCACCACAGCCGTCTGCTCTTTCCGCAACAGGTGTGGTTTCGCTAGTGAGTTTTGAGCCTTTCTCTATTGATTTTCTCCACTTGACTTTCAATCTGAATGAAACACGTCACACTGCACAATTTCTTTCAGCTTACGAGGATTGGCCTGGTATGTTTTATTTTCTGAGTTGTGCCGACATGCTCATCTCTTATATCTAGCGTCCGGTATTGTGCTCGACATCGCGGCCTTGACAATGAAGTTCGAACTTCGCCTGGCAAGAACGCCTCTCGGTTACGCTGAAATCGCCCCATACTTCGTGGACTACCTTGGTACTCACTCATCCATCTATCTTCTACAGAGGCCTCGCATTATCTCAGTCATTCTTAGCCATATTAACAGTAGTCGGTGTTGTCATTATGGTTTTTTTTTCTTCAACTACTTAGTGTCTACCACTAATTTGACTATTCTACTTATACTTAGAAGATCTTCCCGCTATGCACATTGTCCAGCAAGCCCCCATCTTGTCTGCTAGCGAGTAAGGGCACCTGTATGCACTTGCCTCTGGTATGGGTATCGACGAGTTTGACGTGGACGGTCTAGTTGAGAAGTGTGATGGTTGTTGACGAAGGTTCATCCCAAGTGGGTTGAGGGCACATATACTGATGGGGTGCCATGGAGGAAGGTAGCCCTTATATACGAGGTTGGAGAACCTTCATTCAATCTTGACACATCACTTCTGATATGTCAAACTACCATTCATTGTCAGTCATCACATTTTCTAGTAGAAAACTGGAATTTATTTCATGTACACTATATAACATACACATAAATAGTGTACACAAAACAAAAAAATCCAAGGTTACATGTATCTTTCGAAGTCTAAGTATGAAGAAAGTGCCACGTCAGCAAATCAGCGAAAATATAGGCTGAAAAACGAAACAAGACAAAATGTAAGTCAATCAACTTGATACTCAGATTCACTGGCAACCAGTGTATCAGAACAGGGAGAGAAGTGAGATACAGAGTGAGTGAAACAACAAAGGTAGAAGAGAAGGTAGAAGAGAAGGTAGAAGAACGAAGAATGGAGCAAGGAGAATGAAGTGAGGAACGAGAAGGGAAAGAAAGGATGTGGGTAGTGAGGATGTCTTAAGGTTTATATATTGTTGGTGATGCCGTCAACGTTAAGTGGAACCAAACGTCTCAGTAAGTGTCTGGGGGTCCGATTGGTGTGAATGCCATGAGGGTGTTCGGACTTTGTTGGTTCAGGGTCTGCAGGAACTGAGTAAGGTCGGAGTGATAACAGGGTACCTACAACTCACAATGTACCTAAATTGGGACTAATTGACAGTGTGGGAATTCTGACGACAATTTTTGCTTTGTTTCAGTTGGTTCATATTTTCTCTCTCCCTCACATGGACAACTTAAGAAGTGAAACAACAAAGCTAAGGGCTGCACTGACTGGTCAGATCACTCAAATTATGAGGGATTCTGCAAACACAAGTGTTTTCAAGGAGGGGAAAGTACAATCTCACCTTCTACACAAGGCAAGGTATGACAGTTCATCATTTAACATTATGTTCTGACTCGCTAACCTGTTCAGGTTGAGAATTGGAGTGCAACTGAACAGTTTCTTGGCAACAGCTGATGCCCCATCAAAGTGTCCTTCCTCAATATCCGAATATGAAATAAACCGAGCAGCGCTCACAATTGCTTATGCAATGGTAAACCCTTGTGAGTTACATACGTAATAACCATATTACTGGGGTTTTGATGGTCTTCATTTCAGGGAAGGTTCTGGAGCATTCTATTGGCCCATGGATTAAAGGAGAAAGGCTTGTCATTGCCCATTTCATGAAAGATAAAGTTCATTCTAGAGTGGGGGTGCCAAGACCAGCATTTCCAACACAGGACTTTTTTTTGCAGATGGTGGGAAGGCAAACCAAAAGAGAGCGAAGTCCGAAATGTCATCTAGGAGGGGGGTGAAGGGATAAGTCAGGTGTTTGAGCATTCGTACTAGATCGAAATGAGGTAGTTTAGCGATTTCTATGAATGATTTTGTCAATTACAATCAAAATATTAAGGACATCCTCTTTTGCCTTAGTAACAGTATGTCTCCCCAAAAAAAAACTCGCCTCAAGGCAGCTACATTTTCCTTCAAAGGAAGAGGTCAATTATCCAAAGGCAAGGACCTAGATGTCGACTATGTGTCTCACAAACAAGTCATTGGAAAGAAAAGGAAGATGACCCTGGGTGGAATCTTGTGCCGATGCCCTCTACGACACTGCCCCAACACCATCTCCTTCCTCTAGCCCTCATAAATGGGTTAGAGAGGAAACTCAAGGGTTGTCAAGCATTCAGGAGGAATTTGATAGAGAAGTCCTCGGTGACTTTATTTCATATACAGAGAACCAATCAAGAAAAACCAAGGTGACCAGATTGATGCATAGCAATTTAATTCTATACTCAATCGAGATTAATTGAACTAGACTCAGAACGACTTTATTCAAGAATATCTGCCTTTCCGAGACTCATACCTCAATATCCTCCTTGACTTGGAGAAGCCCTCTGATGTCTTGGAGTGCCAGTCTTGTCAGATTGGTGAAGGGAAATTCCATTGTTTGACATGCAGCGGGGATCAGACGTTGTGTCATCCTTGCATTGTCAAAACCCACCAGTGTTTGCCCTTTCACAAGGTTCAAGAGTGGACTGGAAAATGCTTTGAAGACAAGTCGCTCGAAGAATTGGGTATTGTCTGGTATATGGGCCATGGGGGGCAACTGTGTCCATTTTCTGAAGACCCACAGGCATGGGAGGATGTGCCATTGGATGCAGAGGCTGGGTCTGTGCCAATGGAGACATTTTCCAGTTCAACTACAACATCCACCCTGACCATTGTACATTCAACTGGAGTGTTTTTGCACAATGTTGTTTGGTGTGGTTGCCCTGGGTCTAAGCATCAGCAGCATCTGCAGTTGCTGAAGGCCAGGTTATTTCCTGCAAGCATCACTCGACCTCGAACTGCCTTCACTTTTGAAGTCTTAGATCATTTTCTAATTGATGCACTGGAGTGCAAGACTTCAGCATCAAGCTTCTTTGAGAAAATTCGACGTATGACCAATCACTCATTCCCGGGTACTGTTCCTGTGAGAGCATATAGTTATTCTTTTCAACAGTTGGACTGACCGTATCAAATGTCTTTGCTGGCTAGAATCGATATCGAGAACTCATGAGGGTGTCGCGTCTATGGAGAGACTTAATGAGCCGAAAATGCTTTGGATTTGGCCATGACACTAGGGAGAAACCTGGCAAGGGTGATCTGGCTTGGTTTTGCCCCTCGTGTCCTCAGCCTGGCATCAACATACCTGATAACTGGCAAGACAAGTATGAAAGGCAAGTCATCTATTGTTGGTTCGGATTATAAGGAGGCTGGCTTTCTCTTCTATGCAACATTCAAGAACATTATACTGACCGGCCGGCTGTGTGCTACATGTTGTACACAAACTTTGGCCTTGCTGGCTTAGTTTCTGACAAAGCTGGCCAGTACTGTATAGACAGCAGGCAGAACCATGTCAGCTGGCTAAACTCAGGACTAGTTTTCAGTGCTTGCATTAGCTTTCCAAGTATGCAAGCCTTGGCTAGCTGTACCTTCTATTTATCTGACCTCATTCATTGAACTTATACTTATTCTTTACACAGTTGGCTCATTTCGCAAAGATTCGTTGTGGATGGAAACTTTACCGCTCAACATATGACTATGAAAAAGCCACAGTTAGACATCAGTCTTTCAGATGGTCTTGGTTATATGGTGAAAGATAGAGAATATCAGACTCATCTCTCATTGGCTGTCGAAAGTAAGGAGGTGAGTTGACTTGTAGCAAGGGTATTTGACTTTGCTTGACAGCCTGTATAGCGCTCTTCTTGTAGCAATCATCGAGCAATCAACACCGCAAATATCAGCAGGAGTAATCTTCGAGCAACAGGGGTAGGAGCAACTGCCTGTGCCCGACATGGATGCTTTGTTCCACACAGCATAGTTGATTTTCAGAAGGGCAAAAGGTCTGTACATCCTCCTAAACAGCATGTTAAGCGAGCTCATAGGATGTTTAGACACATGAACATTGACTATTCAATATGCAATGCTTTGAATTATCATTCGGCTGGTATAGACTCTTCTCTCATTATTTATGATGTGGGGTGTCAGTGGAGTATTAATTTTTTACAGAGAGTTGCTGAGAGCCAAGGCTTATCCATACCAGAAAATATGCAGATCATCCCTGCGGTTGGAAAATTCCATCTCAGCGCTCACAAATTGGCTTGCTTTGCAAGGTACAGCCTCAACTTTGTTCAAGGGGCTGGACATGTTGATGGGGAGATTTTGGAGACCTTATGGGCACCATTCAATAAGATTTCCCCAACTGCTCGGTCAATGAGTCATGCTCATCGCCAAGAAGTTCTTGATGATCATATGAGAGACTCAAACTGGAAAAAAATAGTTGGAATAAGTAAGCACTTCAATCATGTATATCAAAAACTGTGCTTGACACTTAAAATTCTAGCAAAGACTCTCTTGACCAAGTATAAACGTGCTCTCAAAGGCATTGATGAGACAAAATCTCCTTTTGATGAACTGGCCCGGTCTCTGAATCCTGGGAAGATTTTGATGTGGGAAATTGATGAGAAAAAGGCTGTGGAAGAACGTGGGGAGTATCTTGACATCTACCAGTTGCAGATCAACAAAGGTAAGTGAGCTCTGTCTGGGTCTGAGGCTTATAAGACATCTAATCTGGAACTGAGTTCAGCCCCAACTATGGCAGAGATTCGGCTCAAATTAACTGAGTCTGAGAATGATGATGCCAGACATCCAGGAACAGTATCTTGGCTCATCACTGGTATCAATCTGGAGGATTTACAGTATGTAATTGATTGGAACAGTAGAATGGCTTAACAAAGTGCTATTTTAGGGATGCATTGAGAGCAAATATACGACAACTTCCTAATGATGCAACCTCTGCTCAGAAAGCTTCTATAGAAGAAAAGCGGCAGAGATTGGCAGCCAGGATTGCCAAATTTCATGAAACCGCCGATGCTATGACCGCTGGCATGGATCTTGATATTGGAACAGTGCCTTCTGACGATCCTAGATTCTGTCATACAGATAACGATGGTAATGAGTGGGTGGAGGTTTCAGATGAAGAGATCTCAGAGGATATAGATGAAGAAATCCTCACAGAAGAGATGGGTATCTGGATGCCATCTTCGGCATCGCGAAACAATAGATTGAGTCTTGGGCTGGGCCCCCTCCAAGCTGAAGAGTTGGAGCTTCGAAAAGGCCAAGCCAATGACTGCCTAGAAAACCTTCGTATGGCTCTCGGTCACAAGGCCCTTATTTATTGTCAGTATTTTCGAAGCGCAGATTCTACATGGGCTGGCACCAGGTCAAAGCAAGAAGCTCGTCGATGTCAGCTCAAAATTGACAAATATGTAAGAAGCTATCAGAGGGCAAGGTCAGCAATGCAACATCTAGGCATGGAAGAAGCTACCTTGGGCAGTATTTATTGAGAAATATTGCCCACTGAACTCAGTATAGGCAAAGAGGTGACAGAAGAAAATAGATTTGGACAAGGGTCAGACAGACTGGCTTGGTTTTGGAGGGTGAATAATGCCAATGAAGGTCAAGAAGATGCTTGGATGGATGAATGTAAGAAGAAAATTTCATTTCAAGTGCAAGTCACTTCAACTCACTCTTATTTAGTCTATAGGGTCAACTGGTTGAAGGCAAAGGCTAGATGGAGTAGATGGCAGGAGGAGTTGAGTCTGGTAAGACATGAAATAGGTTGGACCATAAACTGGTTCAAGTATCACCAGAAAGAATGGAACAGAAGGTGGCAGCAAGCGACTAGACCTGGTCATCAAGCCTATGTCTATCAACAGGTCTTGATGTGGGGAAGGTTTGCTCAGGATGCTGAGAAGGCTTTCAATGGGTGTGGATTTGTACTTTGAAATATTATACCAACACTCCTGCCAATTGCATTGAATGAGATGCCACAAGTCTACCTACTGCAGAGCCTCACTGGGCAGTATTAACTTAAGGACTGCAAACAGGCCAGCCATGCTCTTACATATGTAGACCCAAGCTGGCCGGTTTGCTAGTAAAATATTAGCAGACCGGCCAGCCATAGATCTACCTACTGCAGAGCCTCACTGGGCAGTATTAACTTAAGAACTGCAAACAGGCCAGCCATGCTCTTACATATGTAGACCCAAGCTGGCCAGTTTGCTAGTAAAATATTAGTAGACCAGCCGGCCATGGATCTACCTACTGCAGAGCCTCACTGGGCAGTATTAACTTAAGGACTGCAAACAGGCCAGCCATGCTCTTACATATGTAGACCCAAGCTGGTCAGTTTGCTAGTAAAATATTAGCAGACCGGCCGGCCATGGGTCTACCTACTGCAGAGCCTCACTGGCCAGCATTAACTTAAAGACTATAAACTGGCCAGCCTAGCTCTTACATATGTAGATACAGGCTGGCCAGTTTACTAATGACTACATATACCAGCCAGCTTGATTCTATGGTTAGTACACTCAATGGCCAGTATATTAACACAAGGACTACAAACTGGCCAGCCATGCTTTTACATATGTAGACCCAAGCTGGCCAGTTTGCTAGTGAAATATTAGCAGACCGGCCAGCCATGGATCCACCCACTGCAGAGCCTCGCTGGCCAGCATCAACTTAAGAACTCCAAACTGGCCAGCCATGCTCCTACATATGTAGATACAAGCTGGACGGTCTACTAATGAAATCAGAATGCAGTAGATATATCCTACATATACCAGCCAGCTTGATCCTATGGCTAGTATATGTCATATGATATCTCGGCCAGCACTCATCCTACATACAGGACAAAAGAGATGGTTATAGTATTATAGACTGGCCGGCACTGATACTACATACAAGAGATTGGCCTATAATACCTCGGCCAGCACCAATCCTACATGAAAGAGATTGACATACTATACACCGGCCAGTACCTTTCCTACATGAAATAATGATACTCAAGTTATAATCAGATAGTACATCGGCCAGCACTTATTCTACATGCACCAGCCGAGGACTGGCTAGCCATGATTCTATGACCTTTTGGCACATCCGGGGCAGGGGTTCTACGTAAGGAAATGACTGAAGTATGTGCTCAATGGCAGGATCATCTCCTAGGCCACCTAACCAAGATGTGAGATCATAAGTCGCTCGTGAATATGTTGCAATATAATAGTGGTCGTATGGTGAAGTGCGTTCACGTCAGCGTCGCTGAGTTGGGTTTTCACTGGCAAAGTGTTGGCGAGCAGCAATTACCTTTTCACAGAAGTGTTCTATGACTTCCTGTGATGCAATGCTTTGGATTGTTGTTGCTTTGGTTTTTGGAGTCCGTGGATAGCGTTGTTTTGAGCAACGGTGTTGCAGTTCACCCTGGCAAGCAAATATGAGTCAAATGTGGCATTAATGAAAGAAATACATACTGGTTGGGTACTGTAACTGTCCGTGGTCCCAATGCGCCGAATTGTATTTGGATAATCACCAAGAGCGTGATACTTATATGTCTGGAGGTTGAGTAGCTTTGCCTTTGGTCCTGCAATCTTTCCTTGGGCAATATGAGGCTGCTTGACTGCAAGCTGTGCTTGACGGTGGCCACGCGCTGCATGCTCATGAGGGAGTTCAGTGGTGTGATAATGAGAGCACATGGTTCGAGAAAATTTGCGGACTGTTTCACCCAGCATGACAGTTACAGAGTCAAAGAACAACAAAATGTCCTCAGTATGCAAACGGAGCTTTGCATAAGCATGCCAGGTTGCTAAATCAAATAAGAGATCCAATATGATTTTGTTGAAGCAAGTGTCTTCGTCATCTTGCAGAAGACCTTCAAATACAGGTATTGCACACTAGAAGACAATCATTAACAACTCGTTTGAAAAGACAGACTCGAATTACATACCAGCAAAAGATCTTCAAAGTCACGCGCAGCAAGGTGCTTCATCGCTGACGCATTCCTGTGGAAACGTCGAATTGTACCCCTTCCAAATGTGGGTACATGCCGATATCTGCACTAATGGTTCAGTACTATTGATAGTAGAGGTACAGACTTGAACGTACCTCCAGTTAAGATCTTGAACGGTTGAGCCGCCTGCTGCAAAAAGGATTCTCATCAGATGCGTGAAAATTGCCTTCCAGACTCCGAGTTCGAACTTGTGCAGTAAGTCCACCACAAACAGCATGAAAAAATTGAATAAAAATTTGAAAAAGCGCTCTGAGAAAGCATTCTGAGGATAATGTAAGCTAATCATGTAACAAAAGGTGGCGAGAAACTTACTCGGGTAGGGACAAGTGATTGCGGCCCTAAAAGATCCTTAATGTGCTTGCCATCAATTTGAGCTCCCTTCTCAAACACAAACTTTCGGGCTCTATTGATATCGTAACGGCAAGCTTGGTTGTCAACTCGCACAGTTGTTTCACGATGCTTCATGTCAGCCTTCATTCCCATCTTTGGAACATCGGCCTTCTGGACAAGACACCAAGGGCACGGACACTGGCCAAGGAACTTGATGTTTACCAAAAGAATCCTGGGAGGAAATTTAAGATGATGTTTAAAAGTCAACAGGAAACAAACTTTTCTGGATAATCAGCAGAGTAGCTAAAGAATCGCGGAAAGACTCTTCGTGTGACTCCGTCTCCGCAACAAATGACAATACCATGTTCATATGCATGCATGAATTCCTCATCGAGGAGAAGCTCCCATATAGCGTGGATTAGTTCATGCTTGCAATGTGTATATATCTCTGATGTCGAGGCTTCGCCAAAGATCCCCTTGTAGATGTCTTGAAAATTATCAGGAAGCTGCATGTAACTGATCAATTGGCACATGTATAGATTAAATGGAATGACGCACAGTTGGAATATAAGCAACATGGTGACATGCTGAAGCAGTGGGCTTGCCGCGGGTGTACTTTGATTGGTTGCCAAAGAAAAGGTAGAATGGCCAGAGGGATGTGTCACCAAAACTAGCAAGATGTGTCGCGTCGGACCACATCATTAGTGAAGCCACAACACGCTCGAGATTGTCATTAGCTTCTCGAGGAAGAGAATTGACCTCGGCATAAGCCTCTAACATCGCAGCGGATGAGTAGGCTTCAGAAAACACCTCTATATTGTGCCCATCAGGGGTTTTCCACATTTGCTGAAAGGGTGTCATATGGAATGTCAATGACACGCTGTCTTCAAAAACTGAGGTAATAATGTTGGTCAGCGATCGGTGATGAACTCCCTTGATTTCAAGCTGGGGGACATCTGCTTCGGAGGGCCATTTTCTCTTCTCTTTCAGTAGAGGTATCTTGACCGATGACTTCTGCCAGCCGTTCTCTGCATGGAAGGGATTCATGGTATCTGCAAGGTAGTTTTCGAGGAGCTTCTTCTCACGCAGGATGTTGAATATCCTTGAGTCCTCTCGTTTATACTCGTAATCATCGAGAAATGTCATGAGATGGTGCGTTTCTGCAGTTGACTTTGCGGTTGAGCCAGAGAAATGCCAATACATCAGAAGACCTGCTGTTGGACTGCTGAAGGCATCATATAGGTTATCGCATGTGATTTCAGGTGGTGGAAGTGGGACGCCAGTGAGGCTATGAGAAGCCTGCTCGGCCGCATTGCCTGCGGCATCCAACATGGGAGCATCACAAATGCTGTCAAGCGCACCTCCGCCCTTGGGAATTAAGGTAGGGGTTGTGGGGTAGATACGGTAGAGACCCATTGAATCAGGCTCTGTTTCAAAAGGGATGAGCTGTGGATGCTGATGGTCAATGTCTTGGTCGATTTGTGGAACATCAGGCTCCACATTCGGCTCATCAGCCTGAGCTAATTGGCGACCACGAGCTTGTTGCCGAGTTGGAGGCATGTGCTCAAGATGAGTCACGGAGCCTGGAAGGTAATCCACATAGCGATTTGGCATGCGTATCCTGCGACCAGAACGAGCCAAATGGACAGCAGGGACAGGGCTGGGAGGTAATGGTTCTGGCAACGGAGGAGAACCGCGGGGCGACATGCCAGAAGGTCCAGCCATGCCACCATCGTCAAACTTGGCGAAATTTATGTCAGTAGCGCTTTACATCATCACGCCAAACTTACCTACATGTCATCAGCTGGCATGTCATCTCTGATACCCATCGGTTCCTCATGCATTGCGTGCATGTCATCATGCATTTCATTGTGGTGTGTTTTTCTCCTCTTTTTCTTGTCGAGGCTTTTCTTGAGAGTGCACTGTTCAGCACACTGAGCCTCATGACTGCTCAGATGTTTCTGAGTAGAAAATGTCTTGCCACAGCCTAGACAAGCAAGGTCATCCATCGAGGTCAGGAGGCAAGTGAAGGAGACAGTCAATGCTGGATCTGCTACTCAGAGACATGCAGGCTATTATACCTGCCAACGCCGTGGATAAACACCATGAATAAGCGGTGCGCACACGCAGAGGATCATGAGGGTGTTGTGAGGTGATCCACCACACCCTGAGTCTCTTAAGGCAATATCAGTAACAAAATCAGATATCTTTTTGATAGTTTAAAATACATTTGAGACCGAGCTCGTCATTGTAGTAATAGTAAACACTGAAGGTACCAGGACGATACTCACCATCCTTGTATCGGATCGAGGCATCAGCCTGCCAAAACGCGGTCATACATATTCTGAACAGAGGGAGGCATCAGCCCACCGAGAAAGAGAAACCGGCACGCACAGTGTGGTCACGACAGGTCGATGATGAGTGAGCGAACCGGCACACACAGTGCGGTCGCAACAGGTCGATGACGAGTGAGCAAAAGATAAAGATGACACAGGTGCTAGAGGGGAGCCACGCATGGTGCTTGTATCGGCAGTCTGGAATGAGTGGGAACCCAGTGGTACTAACTGAGGAACAAAAACAGGAAGTTCGAACTTGCAAATACTTTTTTTTCAAAGCCCACCACACTTGCAGTTGACGCATACACTCATCTCGCTTTTTCCAATGCATGTCTCTAATCCTCATGAACCTCTCAACTTGTCCAGCCGAACCACCTTTTTTCATGACAATGTCATCATCATGGAGGTCAATAATCTTCTCGCCGGATGGCCCACTTACACAATAAATTTCACACCTGAGCGTCCAGGACCGCTGGTAAGTAATTTTGTTACTGCCTGAATTGCTCAATACAACTGATACATACATTATAGAAGCTTATTTTGCGCTTGAAGGATGCATCAAAATTTCGATCAACCGAAGATGATGATAGTGAAGATGAGGCAGAGGGAGCGGGAGCAAGTAAGGAGGATGCAGATGTTACCATGGTCTGCGAGGCAATGTCCAAGTACGTTTTTTTTTCCTGTATATCTTGATTATTGCATTGACCCCAACTATAGGGATGCACCTCAGCGCTTCAGTGCGAAACCTGTGCAACTACATGGCATCCCTAAGGACCCTCCTTCAGTTGTCACCTTACAGGAGAAGTTCGAGCAGGAGAACATTTATACTTGGCCCCCTTGTTGTGGCTTCAGGAAGATGTCTGCCGAAGTGCCACTCAATCATGTTGACGCATTCATGACACTACCTGCTGCTGTAGCAGCATTAAAGTTAGACTAAATCCTGCAATCGTTTCTCACACTCTATTGTTATTGTTATTGTATTACTGTACTTGCTGTCTCGCTTCGCATTTGTCCTGCTTCATGCACTGTTGTTATATCACTTCCCATGGACATTGTCTCTCGTATTACTTGCAGTCATACCATTAAATTGTATTTCTTGTTGTCACAGTAAATTGCGCATTGAATTTAAAATCATGTGAAGTCCGTAATCACACGACTTGCCCCAAAAAGATATGCCCCAATCTTCCCCTTAACCCTGTACCCCTCCTTTACCTTCAACTATTATGGCACATTGGAGGTGTTCCCCAAGTCCATCAGAATCGTCACGCTCATCCTCAAGTGACTCAGAGCACTCTCGACCCACTCGCAAGCATTCTACTAAGCAGAAGAAATCACATTCATCAAAGTTCGATGATGAGAAACGAAAGTGAGTCCTTACATATTCATCTTGAGCCCTTGCTTCTCACTGTTGATAGGCCTGACAAGAAAGAATCAAAATCGGATTTGCATGAAGAGTACCTTGCAGCTGCGCACTGCATCACGCGATGCGTTGACATGTTTTGCAAGATCGATAAGGTCATTGACATTGGCACCCTACTGAAACAGCGCGAACTCGCCAATTCTGGAGAGGTATCTGAGGATGAGGATGAAGCAGCTCATCGAGAGAAGCAGTTATCAAAACTGTATGACTAGGAAGTATCCTCCTGACGCTGATGGACTAATTTTTCCCTCCTATAGATCTCAGAAAACATGGGATAGGTACCAGCAGAACTATAAGCGCTTACTAGAGCTTGCACCAGGCTTGAAACCTCTCATAGCTGGCTCAAAAGACCTGAAGAAAGCCTCGGAACTCAGGAGAATCATCTGAAAGGTAAGTATATGCGCATATATGCACCCATCAGTGCTTTCTAACTTGGATTTTAGATGGAATCTGCCATTTCAGGCACTCGCTCAGATGACTTGACGCGTTTGAAGATGCTGATTTGCGACTACCTGGCTCCAAATCCAGCAGACAAAGCCGTGGTGCCGCCTCTCCATGATGGCAGTGGTCGATGCACGCATTTGGGTGTAAACCACCCAGTCTTGGCCCGCTTTCTCTGCCCAATCGGTGAGATTGAAAATTTCAATGAGGACCCAACAATGTAAGGTTCATTTGTTTCTAAATGCACTGCTAACTTTACTATACTTTACTTTACTAGTACAATTGAATGGCTGCAAAGCGGCAAAATTCGCATGGAGGCAGACGCCTTTCCGGCTTTTCTTTGGAATGGTGATCTGCCTGGAGGCAACTATGACCCGGACAACATGATGGACGGTTTTCTTGACGGCTTTGTCCTTGAGCGTGTGGGTATTGCTATCACTCCCTTATTTATGCTTCTCACATTATTCCCAGACCATGAGACACATATTCACAGGCCCTTTGACTGTGTATGGTGCGCAATTGTGTGGGACACGTCCATCCAATGCTTCATTGCACGCTATGACTACTGTTGAACCACAACACATTGCCTATGGCTGTGTACAGGTTTGTCGTCACTGTCATCACTCATAGCTCACATTGACATCTCCCAGGTCCGATTTGGAATCAGCTCCAGAAATACATGGACCAAGGAGGACGGTGATTTCAATTATCGCAACTTCTACCACCACATCATTGAGCTTATCGACAACTTACCTGACGACGACAAGGAACAATTGTTGAAGGACTGGAACCTGTAAGCCATCCTTCCCATTTTTTCATTGTACTAATATCATGTAAAATCAGCAAACTATTCAAGAACGAGGCTGGACGTGACGTGGCTAAAGACGGTGCTGACGAGCTTGGACCCTCAGGTGCTCGCAAGGGTGGCAGCGACTTGGCCTGCCTGCGCGCACAAATGGCAGCTCACAATGCTGCAGTGAAGACTCGCACTACGGACTCAGAGCGCCCAGCTGCACCTCTACCTCACCCATTGCCCACTTGAGAGAATTTGCCCCCTCCTTCAAGGATACCTCCACCTTCTTCACCAGCTCGCAGGAGCCCATGTCGTCCCACACAGCCAAGTATATTTCCCACTCGAGAGAACTCACTCCCTCGTCCAAGGACACCTCCACCTTCTTCACCAGCTGGCAGCATCCCACGTCCACGTCCTATTGCTCATTCAACCAAGACAGCTGTGTCAAGTCCATTGGCTGCTCGGGAGAACTTATCAGCACCCCCTCCACCACCATCACCAGCTCCAGCTCCACAGCAAGCATCACCAGCAAAGACTCTATTGCAAGCCAATTGCGACACACCTGGCAGTGAACTGATGACCTCTGATGAGGAAGAAGAATCCCAGCCAAAGCCGAAGAAGCGAAAGGCAGCATCAGCCAAACGTGGCAAGGGCAAGTCCAAGGCACCGGCAGTCGAGGCTTCAGATGATGAGTCTGAACTTCCAAGGTGTTCAACCAAGCGCAAGGCAGCCGTTGCCACTAGATACCAGCCTGCTAAGAAGAAGCAGAAGAAATAACTGCCATCCTCGCATCTAGAACTCTCAGTTGTGCTTTTTTTCCCACTGCTGTCATTCCCATCATTCTCGCACTGCATCCCTCATCGTCGACTTACAATACCTTGTTTGCACTCTAATAACTTGTACTAGATGGAAGAGAATGAATATTGTGCTGTATCTGAAGGAGAAAAAAATGTCTGAATAAGTCTGAGTGGCACTCAATATCTTTATTAGTCTGCGTGATACAAAATATCTAAACGGCAATGACGATGTCAACCTCAGTTGACATCATCACTTGAGTTCATAGGGATTGTCAGACAGGGCCGGGTTTTGGCTGACATCGCTGACATGTGTGACGCCCTAGCCAGTGTCGGATACCGACATTTCTAGCTATGTATAGTTTGAGCAATTTTGGTGATGCACCTGCCGCGATCTGTATTTGTCGTTGTTTGGGGAGCTTCCTTACACCTCTGTTCCGCCACCAACAGGTATCCCCTACCCATGCACACTCACCATGCACCCTCACCCACTTCTTCGCTCAGCTCCATTGCATGCGCTGCTACCTCTCCTTATTTGAACCTTCAAATACCGAAAGATCTTGTTGCATCCCCCCAACAACGACTGCGCCCTCAACAAAGCCCATACTGACGACAGTGCTCGTTCACATCGCTGTCAACTTCATCTTCTCAAAAAAGATGATGGACACTTCCTTGTACTTTGCACATACGGCATGCCTGCCTTTGTCTCAATATCTCTTTGCTATGGTTCATCCTCAACAAGTCGCGGGTACAGGCAGTGGTTCCTGCACTGCAAACACTCTTCAACTTGCCAAGTTAAATGAGAATGACGCATGGCGTGCTTCTTGAATTGTTTGAATGTTCGTTCATTCAATTCAAACAACAGGTACTTGTTGCTGCTTCCATAGGGTATAACGACACCTTGTCATATGATGACGCCGCCTTGTGGGATGTATTATCCAAGTCTGTGCGCACTCTATTGATACCCTTCTTCTTTAACCTGGATTTCACATAATTGATCGACTTCTCTCCTGCAGAAGAAGCTTATGGTACAGTTCAAGAACCAATATTCACCCGGTGCCAGTCATTCTTTGATATTCGCCCAACCTCTCAACACGCTCGTGAAGGCGGGAATCGGAACCATTGAACTATCACCGTCCAGTGAGGCATTCTGGAAGACTTTTAACCGAAGCTGCAAAGTCTCACTAGCAACCACAGATCACCGTGAATTCAAGATCGTTATATGATGTCCGGAGGGGCACGTTAACACCTCATCTGCAGTGTCCTGCATGAACTCAGTTTGTTAAATGCGACTGACATAGTGAACGCTTATGCCACATGGATGGGACTGGCCTGTGGGCATAATACAAATGCTTGAAGCTGCACAGCACACGGAATGCGAAACAACCGCAGTGAGCGTCTGTAGGTCGGCCGCTCTCAGGTGTGACAGGAGGGGCTAACAGTGGACCCAATAGGATAGGCCACGAGTGTGATAGTCATTCACCGTGGGAACCTTGACAAAGTACCAATCCAGCTCACACTGCAGTTTCATTTGCAACATCTTGCTGTAGCTACATAGCCTACTAGATAAACCACAACCAATACTCGGCACAGGTATCCGCTTCGAGCACTCTTGTATAAAATGTCATTCGGATTGGGTCCCCACATTTCCCTGCCCACCTTGATACCACTGCTAGACGCATCTTCGAGTCTGCATTGTATTGCGACCAGCCTGAGGTAAAGTTTCCACTATATCCAACAGATATTCAGGACATGTTCGATTGATGATGAACCTGGATGAACAGATCATAATGAATTGTATTGGCATTGTACCGCTATCAGCAACTTTGCTATTCGCCTGAGGTACGCAAATGTTTGGCCGTAAGTAAGATGCTGAAGTTCACCCAATAATTTGTAGCCAATCGCATCTGTAGAGACGTTTTGCAGCGCTACCTGATCGTAACATTCATTGATGCCCACGCAAGGTGAGAGGCATTGTATGCTACATGTTTTGTCCCACAAATTCATTGAGGTTTGTGATAGTTTAACAGTCATGGATCAATCCACAAAAGACCACCTAGACGAATTCGATCAGCATGTGATGAACCACATCCTGATCTGCCTTATCCGCCTATCAGACATGACACTTGTTAGTTGTGAGGATGTGAGGGAGCACTTCAGGGCGCGTTTTCTCCAGTCTTATCATCCACCATTGAAAACTGTCAAGTATGCCACTCTGTCTCATCGATGGGGCGAATGAGAGCCCAGCTATGATACATTTGAAGAGATGAAGAAGTCCGAGCTTAAAACTCCAGGATTTGAAAAGCTGATGAACATCTGCGAAAAGGCTAGGGAGTACAATGTGGAATTTGCATGGTCAGACACCTGCTGCATCGACAAGAGCAGCAGTGCCGAGCTCAACGAGTCGATTCGCTCCATGTTCCAGTGGTATCGCAAGTCAGAGATCTGCATCGCCCATCTGGCACAAAGCAAGACAATGGACGACATACCGCGCGACAAATGGACGGAGAGAGGTTGGACCTTGCAAGAACTCCTTGCACCCATCCATATCAAATTCTTCAACCAGCACTGGATACCCATGACACATAATCAGAATGACAAACATCCCGACACGGAGCGCTCCGGGTGCATCATGTTGAGCACTCTGGAAAGCGCCACTGGAATTCCTCGTCGTGACATCTGCGACTTCGCTCCAGCTGCATTTTGGGTGAATGAGCAGATGCAGTGGGCAGCCAGATGCAAAACAACAAGGGTCGATGACCTACGCAGAGTCTGTCACAGTTGTTGCTGATCCGGTTCTGGTCAGCGCGTTGACGCTCGACCCTCAATGTTCAACTTGATATGAAAATGATCTCCCCAATCAGATCTGAATGGTGTTGTGCGCTTCGTTCACCGAGGGAGCGAGACCTAGGCGAGAGGGATGTCTAAGGCTGCACCTGCTTTTGGGGATCTCACATTCGCATTGGAACACTGAGACTCATGGTTCAAGTAAATCACTAAGGATACGTACATGCACAGGTATATTTACTACAGGAAGATTTGTTGATTACTGAGCTGGCAACAAATCCTTAGCTCCAGACATGATACAAGTGTTTTATCCAGTATCTCGCAGCTTAAAACACAACCGCACCACCACCCTTCGTGTCCATGCGGCGATTAATGCCACCGACAAGGACCTTGATCAGCATGTCAGCATGCAGTTGGCCGATATAGGGCGTTGTGTCGACGATGTCCTGACGGTGCTTTCTAAGGAACTGTGCTGCATGCCTCGAATTTCCTATCTGAACGAACTGTATCCTGACCTATAGCTTTGTTGGCACCAAGTTCAATAAAGAAGCGATGCATAGTCACCTGTCCAAGTGGCCACTTGTCGACCTCAAGCAACCTGGCAAAATAGACGATCACACTCTCTACATCATCCGCTACGTGAATAGGTCAGGGAATTCGGCCATTAGGTGTCGCGCAGACTCACATGATACACCATCAGTAATGATGAGCACATTCAAGGGCTTGATGTTCTTGCATGAATCCTCCCGTCCCTTAGCAGCATACAGTTCATGGACATAATCGCCGAGGATCATACTGAGGCAATTCCCAACAGTGGTTGGGCCACAGGGCTGGAATTTGGTGAACTGCTCGTGGACAACTCTGGAGTCCTATAGAAGGGTCATCAGGATCGATTTGTGATGTGCAAGTATGCTACCTACTGTAACTCCCGTCATGGTTGTGTTGGAGTTCAAGAAATGTATGTCTATGCCAGCGGCACTGGCATCATATTGGCTCGCTACATTGATGAGCATGGCGAGAGCCTGTTCCACCTGAACAGCAGGGGGATTTCAGCCTTCATGGACAAGGAATATGACAAACATCATACCTCATTCCACAGCGAACCAGTCATAGATGAAGAATCATCCATGACGACAGTCATGTCATAATTGCGCAGCGTCTGAAGCGCATCTTGCAACGATTCTGCACGCAGAGGCTGGCGGAGATACTCTGCTCGCATCGGAAATGGAGAAGAAACAGCTGGTCGTGGGATCGTAAATGTCGAGTGAGACTTTGGAGGGGAATAAATACCTTTGGCATCATTGTGAGGGGGCAAGGGCATTGCTAATGCGGCAGAGGTAGAATATGGTGACAGCGCTGATCCATAGTTGCTGGTGTGCCCAACAGGAGATAATTTGTTCTCCTTTGCATGATCATCAGACAAGTCACCAAATTGGCCCTTACTGGAATGCGTTTGCGCCTTTGACAGGCAGTTTCCCATGATAGCCTTGGTTCGTCTTTGAACGGTGCACAGAAGCGATACAGATGTATATGCAGGGACGTATGGACAAGTACAGTGGATGAAATAGGAGCAATCCGACCGGAGTTAGAAGAGAACTTGGAACCCCACTGACCAACAACTTAGATGCTGTTTGACTGAAGGTTGTGTTCTCCATCCCATTACCATTAAGTAGTTGAAGAAGGATCAGAGGACACTGGAATGAGTATTCAAATTTCAAATTAGAATAGTTTCCACAATGTATCCTTAGGTTTTTAGTGCTCTTTTAGTGCTCTGTTCCCACAGTTTTTCTCACGGTTTGAAGTTTATATCTTATAGTCAGTTTAATGTTCATGCCGATGCTCAGCGAGCTCTCTCAACGTTTCAATTATCTACTAAAGTTTTTTGCTGATGTATTGGCAATTGTGCACGTTGACGGATTTCAACCGAAATCACAAGTTTCTTCCACTTTTCTGCATGACCACAATATTCCACGTTCTGTTGTGGAATCCTCTTTAGGACCTGTCCACGTACCTACCATTGATGGCTGGTCTATCACCTGAAAGAAAAAACGTAGCAGGCTCTGCCGCGTGCGGCCCTTCGCGTTATTTGGTATGCAGGTGGTATGCTGCACGCGTTGACCTCGAGGAGAAGGGCACGCTACAAATTATAATTTACTAGCTTCCAGATATCTCTTATACCGTCCTTCCTTTGCTTCCTGATGTCATTATCTTTGAGTATCGAGCAGAGCAGATGGTTAGAACGATAAACAATGGTCTTTGGTCTATTCGCTCCCAAGCTTGATCCTTCATCCAATACCCAACTACATACGAGTACACCCTCTACATCTCCCTCAATTTCTCACACAGAACCCCCTTCTTCCTATCCCCAGCCGAATTCTCACTCCCCCGAACCCAAGCCCGAGTATCAGCCTGAGGTAACAGACCCAACAGCTCTCTATGACCTCATACGTTCTGTCCCTCCTCAAACCTTCCACCACCACCGCCCTCCCCACACACACTCACCATCTTCTCCCATGTATCCTGCGATCTATCCCCATCACCCCAACTCCATTGCATGCGCTGCCACGTATCCTTTGATCATTCAAACATGGACACATCTTGCTGCATCAATGATCAGGGCGCACTTGTTGATCACTTGGTGTATCAGATGGTGTGGAGCTGCTGTGAGGGAAGTGTTGGGTTGGTGCTATAAGGGAAGACATACAGTGAGTATCTATCTCGTACTTCATATTTCAAACACTGATGACAGATATAGACAGACATCTAACGTGTGCGCTTCCTCCAGATTTGTCCATCCATGACGATCACAGTCCCATGTGCTTCAGTAGGGTACCACAGTTGGAAATGCAAGCACAGCGTATCCATATCCGTCTCCGCCAGTATAATCACAAGGAAGAAGGCAAATGTGAAAGCAGTCGACAATCCCTTACCCAGGTCAGCTACTAGTGCTACCCGCTTCTAAGGCATCCGACTCGCCCAAGCCCACCGCAAAATCCATGTCTAGACCTCCACATCTTCACTTTCAGTGACGCTCACCCAACCACACAACAGACCCCAACCTAAATCCAACCTCCACCAATCTGACGTCGCTTCTCCCACCATAGACGGCGGTTATAACCCTCCTTGGGCACGCTATCCTTTATTGCTCTCTTTCCCCACAACTCCATTGCATGTGCTGCCACACCTCCTTCACCTCCCTCCGATGATAACAGCACACTTGTTGATCTTACAGTTCATGAGACACTGTTGGACTGCTGCATGGGAAGCATCGAGGAGAAAGCATATATAGCTCCTCCTACCAGTGGTGAGCGTCTGCCTCATTCTCTAGATTTCGAACCTAATTCCAAGTACAGACAGATATCAACCTCACACACTTCTGTGCAGCTTCGGTTATCGACGATGACAAGCTCATTGCATATTAATAAAGTGGCGTATTCATCGTGGGCGCTGGCAAGTTGGTCTGGAGCGTCGTGTGGTAGACATACAGTGCAGCAGTTCAACTCATCAGTGTCAGAAAGACAGGCGTACACGACCTGCTCAGATAGGTATGACCATAGCTTCTTGAATATGGCATGCGTACTAACGAAAAACTGCATCCTGTTATCCTCAGCATTATGAGTATTTTGACTTCATTCTGCGCTACATATTCAAGGCGACAGACACCCGTCCCCACACCTCAGTCTCGTTAACCGTTGACTGAGGCTCGTGCACTAGCTCTTACCTTTGATACTCTGCTACTTCTCCAGCTACCTTAAAAGCCCGCCTATCAACAATTGCTCGTTCATCCAGGTCATGCATTATTGATGTTCCTCTTGTGCAGAGGTAAAGAGGTACGCTCGTTTTATTTTTCCCACTTTTTCCAATCTTATACATTTGATTGTAGTGCAACGCTGCAGTGGGTGTGAAAACTATGTTTCTACTCCTTCACCAAAACCTCACAACAACGATCCGCAGGAGGTGGACAGCATGGAAGTGGCCGGTTGTGCGGCTGCTTATAAGCAGTCTTGATGATCTTTGGGTAAGTATTTTAGTGAGTGTTAGCACGCCTTACTTCACTCTTTGTTACGCATGTTATGCTTATCCACATTCCATGCTCCGCTTCGACAGCTCTCTTTTCACTTTGCTATTAGTCCCCTGGAACAGTTTCCCCTCAGTACATTAATGTGAGCTTATGTGCTCCCAAATGGACAGACGTCGAATCTTACGATTGTGGGGAACACTTCCCAGCATATCGTCGATTCTGCAGCCAACAGCACCAGGCTCTGTGGGTATTCTTTTCTTACGTTCTTTAACTGCGCATCTCGTACTCTCCCCTTCAAACTACCCGCTCCACGGAAATTACGACACTTATCATGCATACCTTAGTGATTGTATGTGACTCATTGTGACCGCCCTCTCCATGTCCATACTATTTGATGCCAAGAATTCCCTCACAACTATGAACATGGAACTGTGTGCTGTCAACCTTTGGAAGTGAGACATTGTGGAAACTATGCCGCTTCATCCAGGACCACTCGGTTCGTTGTATGCCAATGCCTGTATCGTATTTTGGACGACAGTCAGTCTTGCGGCAATCAATTGGCTCATCGTTGGTATTGCTCGGATCATATCTTCTTGGGGTCATGAACTTAGCAGATTGGGTTTGGGCATGTGGCACCAGTTTGAGAGTACTGGATTCATTCTTGCCAGTGTCACCAGTAGTGAGCAGCTTTTCAATGCCCCCTGCGTTGATGAGATTTTGTAAGCATTTTCACCTGTTCGTATCTTTCCAGTACTTATTGTCCATCGGGCTCTCGGTATCACCCCTCACACACAGTGGCATGCAGTCATAGGTATGTGTCCAGTGGCCTACCTTCATTTGTAAATAGCAAACATGATGTTCCACCACATGTATGTACTCATATATTTCAGATCCCCTACTTTTGCAAACCGCCTAGGCTTCGATGACGTACAGTAGGTTTAGATTATGAACATTCAGAACAATTGTCCAACAGATTGCAGATATCATGTTGGATGGGGCTGCAGAATGTCCTACCATATTAAAAGACGGTATACGTCTAGATAGACAGGACTTGGTAAGTCCTGGGGTACATCAGTAAGGAATGTGTATATAGTTAGACTATGACTTACCCCAGTCGACAGTAAAAGAGACTGGGGAAAAGAGAGAAAAACAAGTAACGAATGTATCCTGTGCGGAGTTTCCTAATATGGTAACTGCATAGAAGGTAGCATCCGGTTCAAACAAAAGAAATCCAATCTGTACTACTATGTTGACATTGGCTGATTTCCAACACACCCCCTCAGTCTGGCAACAGAGCTAGTTCCTCTATCATCCTCTGGAAGTTGAGACGCAGAAGTGGTTTCGTGAGTCCGTCTGCGAGCATTTCGGCTGATGGGATGTGGGTGAGCTCCAGTGTCCCATCTTCAACGTGTTTGCGGATAAAATGGTAATGGACGTCGATGTGTTTCGTACATGTGTGGAAACAGGCTTCCTTTGCGAGACTAATGCATCCTGTGTTGTCAACGAATATCTCCGTGCTGGGGTCTTTGTCATACACTCCAATGTCCCTCAACAGGTAACCTATCCATATTGCCTGCTTGGATGCATGTGAGAGAGCCATGTATTCTCCCTTGGTTGACGAGGTGGCTACGGTTGCTTGTTTCTTGCTATTCCATGAGATTACGCGGTTGCTGAGTGTGAAGACATACCCTGACATCGACCAGCAGTCATTGATGTCGCGTGCCCAATCCTGAGTCACTGTATCCAGTGAGTATGTCTGCAACCTCGCCATTTTCGCCTAGTACTAGCCGAAAGTCACGTGTACCAGCGAGGTAGTGCAAAACTCGTATTGCTGCCCTCCAATGTGCCTTGCCTGGATTTGCACTGAACTGCCCAAGGTGACTGCTTGCAAATGCGAGGTCGGGGCGCAAGACCATGGCAATCCAAGTGATTCCTCTGACGAGTTCACGATATGGTAAGGTCTTCATTTCTGCGACTTCTTCGTTCATTTTAGGGCCATCTGTTTGTGCATCCATCCTAAAATGTTTGAGGATCGTGTCAACGTACTGGGCTTGTGAGATGGTAACAGAGTGGTTTTTGCGATTGTCGGTGAGTGTGAATCCCATCAGCCAGTCTGGGTCTTCTTCCTTCATCTCAAATAGCTTGTGTAGCTTGGTGTGGGTCTCTGCAAGTGTTTTGGGACTGTCGGAGACAGTGATGGCATTGTCTACGTGCCATGCAACAATTGATCTACCCGTCTTTGTATGGCGGGTGTATACTGCATGGTCGGAGGCACAATGGACGAAATCATGGGAAACTAATCCTCGGTGCATATGCTTATTCCACAGGTGCGAGCCTTGTTTGATTCCGTAAAGGCTAAGTAGGAGTTTCGCGACTCTGTCAGTACCGTCGCTGAAGCCTTCGGGTTGCCACATATAGATTTTGTGGTCGATCTTGCTGTGGAGAAATGCCCCGGTGATGTCATCTTGTCCGCGGTACCAGCCGTGTGAAGCTGCAAAGTGCAATATTGTATGAAGTGAGTTGAGTCGGACAGTTGGTGAAAATGTGTCACTGTAGTCGACACCTGGGATCTGCGAGTATCCTTGCGCGACAAGCCGTGCCTTGTATCGTGTGATTTCTCCATCAGGGCTGAGTTTGAGGGTATATGTCCATCGACATCCTATGACTTTGCGATCCTTCAGCTTCTCAACTAACTCCCATGTCCCTCTCCTCTGCAGCATCTCGATCTCCTCATGCATTGCCTTCCACCACTGGTCTGCTTCATTGCTAACATTGGCAGCTTGGAAGTGCTGCGGGATTCGCCAGGCCATATGCTGCAAGGTATGCGAGCTGGGCGACTTCGCCAACGGTGGTATTTTTGAGTGGCAAAGTGTCTGTGTCTGTTTTACATTGGCGTTGAGTTCGGTCCTCGCGGTGTGCCTTGTGATTGGCTTTGTCCTTCTCGGATTTGGCCTTCTGGGCATCTGCTGCTTGCTTTTTCCATGACGGGCGTGTAGTTCGTTCCGAGCGTCGGGTTTGAACTAATGTCAGTTCGGGAGGTGGATTTGCAGTGGGAATGATGGTTTCTATTGGTGTAGGTGCTGGGGGTTCTTCGGCAGGTGCTGGTGCCTCAATCATGGTTGGATTAGAATCTCTGTCTGTCACCCCCTCGATCTGAGCGGGAGGGTCAACAATGGTGGTTGTTTTTGGCACCCCCTTACTCAGAGCGGGGATATCAGGAGTAGGGATATGTTCGCCGTCAGGCTGGCTGAAGGTTTTCTCATAAACTATGACATCACGAGACGAGACAAACTTGTGTTTGGAGGGAATCCAGACTTTGTAGGCTTTAGAACCTCATTCGAAAACCACAGAGAATACCATCAATAGAGTGAGCATCAAGCTTCTTCCAGAACTTGGGGGAGACTCGGACATGACAGCGAGAGCCGAAAATACGGAGAGTGGACACATCTGGTTTACGACCATGGAATACTTCATTGGGGGTGATTTTCGAGAGTGCTTTGGTTGGGCTTTGGTTACGCACGTAGCTCGCATACTCATGTGCTTCTGGCCAGAAGCTTTTTGACATGTTGGCATCTGTGAGCATAGTGAGACAATGTTTGTGTGTAGTTCAGTTGAAGTGTTCCGCAACTCCGTTTTGCTGGGGTGTACATGGGGCTGAGAATTCGTGTGTGATGCCCTTCTGCTCAAAATAACCTCTCAGTGTCGAGTTGATGAATTCACCCCCATGGTCAGAGCATACTATTTTGACGTGACGTTCGGCATATGTCTCGAGTCGTTTGATGAGTACTTTGATGAAGGCTGGGGCTTGGTCCTTCGACTTCAAGTACTCCTTCAGTCCTTTTCGACTATGGTCGTCAACGACAGCGAGGGTGTAGAGATAGCCTTGGATGGATTTGTCCAGTGGGCCTTGGAGATCCATATGGATGCATTCGAGGGTCTTCTTCACCCGGGTTGCTGTAGATGGGAAGGGAGCCTGGGGGTGCTTCCCTTTCGCACATCTGTTGCAGGGTGGGAGGTCACCATTGCCTTGAAGGTCCATGCCCGTCACAAGATTGTGCCGTGCAAGGTAGTGGAGGTTGTCGAGGCTGATGTGAGCAAAGCGAGCATGCCATAAGTCAAGACTGGGGGCAGTACAAGCAGAGAGGGCAATGTCGTATCTAGATGCAGGTGGTGCAATGACACTGTTGATCTCATATAGATTGTTGGTCAATTTGCCTTCCATTACAGGTCTCACCATTGGGTTTCTTAATGGTGAGCCATCCGTTTCGCTTCGTGATCTCCATCCCCTTTCGGTCCATACGGCTTTCCGACATCAGGTTGTCACGAGCAGTTGGGGCAGTAACGGACATTTGTCAATTTGACAATACGGTCAGGACGTCCCTTCACAGAGACATTTACTAGTACTGATCCATGACCGAGTACTTGGAGTACTGGTCCGTCTTTCACGATCCCTTGGATGTGCTCCTCTGATGGGGTGAAGGTTGCAAAGACTGCTCGTTCGGTGCATATGTGAGTGGTTGATCCGCCGTCAAGTATCCAGCCGAATGTTATGACCAACGTTCACCAATAATGATGAAGGCAAGTGCACAACCACTAGGACTCAGTCAAAGAGGATAATGAACAAGATGGTATTGAGCGTGAACGTCTAAGTCACTACAAGCGTAGGAAATGAAGAGGTTAAGTCTAAGGAGTACTTATGCTAACTAACCTACTTATATACATAACATTGAATAGGAGTCTGAAAGAAATCAGCCAATGAGAAAAGAGTCATATGATACTGCGGATGACTAAGTATGACATCATGATATATAAGCGAATGAGTAATATGGCAACTAAATAGAAACCCAAGCTCCGACCGGTTCTTCTTTGGGAAGCGAGATTGTTCTAGCCCGTGGAGTAGGGGAGCCAATCGGAGAAACCACGGGTGATATGTGAAGAGGTGAAGGTGTGACAGGGTGAGGAGTCATGTGACCAGTTTGGGTTCTGGAAGTAGCCAAAGGGAAACCAAGGAAAGAAAAATGGTTCGTATTTGGAATTCGTGACATTACCCCCTTTCTAAGATGAGCGTCCTCGTGAATGTAAGATGGTTGTATATTTTTCTGTCTCCATTCGAGGAAATCAGGGGTTGTCAGAATTGAAGCGGAGATCCGCGCCAATTTAACCGCATTGGGGTTTTCTGCATAAAAGTCAGCTACAATGAGCGGCGCGTTCTTCACATCTTCCTCTGACTGCCATGTTGCTTCTTCTACTGCATATCCTTTCCATTTTACTAAATACTGCAACTTGTGTCTGTATAGGCGGCTTTGCAATATTTGCTCTGCTTCATATTCTGGGACTTGGTCAACAATCTCCGGAGGCGGACACGTTAGAGGTGGGCGGTCAACGAGTTGAGAGGTTTGATGTTGGGTGAGTAGCGATACATGGAAAACTGGGTGGACGCGATATTTAACAGGGAGTTTCAACTTGTAGTTTAGCTCGCCAGTCTTCTCTTCGATTTTGAATGGTCCAAGACAGTGGTCGGAAAATTTTTGGCTCGGACGGTGTTGTTTGATGTTTGTCGTGTCTAACCATACTCTGTCGCCTGGTTTGAATTCTGGTGCGTTTTTTTATTTTATGGTCATAAAAGTGCTTCATTTGATCGTTCGCTATTTCCAGCATCGCCTTCGTCTCTTCTTGTGCCTCCTTCATCTCGGCTAATCTCTGATCAGCATGGGGAATTGTGTTGGAAGAATTAGGGGAAATCATGAACTCGGGATTATAGCCATAGACACATTTGAATGGGGAATGTCCAGTGACAGTTACTGAATTGTTATGCATGAATTCAGTAATTGGAAGCCAAGAAACCCAATCATTCTGTCGGTAGGATGTGAAGAGTCATAGGTACTGTTCGACTTCTTGGTTGACTCGTTCCGTTTGTCCATCAGTCTGTGGGTGATATGCTGTTGACATGGACCACTTGGTTCCTAGTCTTTTTGAGACTTCCTGCATGAACTTGGACACAAACTGTGTTCCCCTATCCGAGATCACCTTCTTCGGTGTTCCATGTAACTTCCATATGTGATTGAGAAATAAGTCCGCGACTCCCTTAGAATCAACATCCTTGGTGGTCGGAGCAAGATGCGCTTGCTTTGTGAAACGATCAACGACCACCAAAATACTGTCTTTGCCCTGGGAGATGGGTAGATCGGTGATGAGGTCACAGCTAATGGTTTGCCATGGCCCTTCTGGAATCTCGTTTGGCTTCAAAGGTCCGTGGGGTTTTGACGGTAGCACCTTTGTTTGCTTGCATCGATCACATCCATCTACGTAGTCATTGACCCACTTCTGCATCTGAGGCCACCAATAGTTCCGCGAGACAAGTTCAAGAGTCTTGGCACGTCCCATGTGTCCTGCTGCAGGCGAGTCATGGAAGATCTCTAGCACTGAGCAATGTATTTCCTTGTTATTGGGAACGTAGACCAATCCTCTGAACAGAATAAGTCCATCCTCCGTTCTTCTTCCAACTGAGAAAGTACACCACCAGTAGCATAGTCAGATGCGTTGCTCTCTATCTTCTGTTTTTTATTTGCATCTGGCATGACTAGCACTGGTGCGGAAGTGAAATTGTCTTTCAGAGTTTGGAAAGCCTTCTCTTGTTTGTCTGTCCATTCCCATTGTACATTCTTCTTGATGAGCTCATTCATAGGTCTGGCAATGTTCGAGAATCTGAGAATGAATTGACGATAAAAGTTTGCGAATCCCATGAATCTTTGAATGTCCTTGACACAGGTAGGAGTGGGCCATTCCTGAACTCCTTTAACCTTGACCGGATCCATAGAGACATGTCCATCTTTGATGATCAAACCGAGAAACTCTACTTCTTTCTTCTCAAAGGAACACTTCTCCAATTTGAGATAGAGATCATTGTCCTGCAGTCTCTGTAGTACCTCACACACCACCTTCCGATGTTTCTCTACATCACCATTGGTGAAGACCAAGATGTCGTCAATGTAGACTACAACAACCTTACCTTCCTTTAGATCTTGGAAGATTTGGTTCATCATAGTTTGGAAAGTAGCTGGAGAGTTCGTCATGCCAAAGTACATTACGACTGGTTCATGATGTCCGAAAGGAGTTTTGAAGGCAGCCTTCCACTGATCTCCTTCTTTCATTCTGATATTATTATAACCCCATCGAATGTCCATTTTCGAAAAGAGTTTTGCACCGGAGAGACGATCAATGAGATCTTGAGAACGAGGGAGAGGGTATGCATTTCGGATGGTTTTCTCATTCAACCTCCGATAGTCCATGACAGGTCTGAGCTTCCCGTCCTTCTTAGCAACAAAGAAGAAAGGAGCTGCTACTGGAGATTCACTATCTCTCAGTCGTCCCAAATCATATTCCTGCTTCAACCACTTCTCACATGCATCATTTTCAGTGGGGGACAGGGGATATGCTTTCGCATTGGGAGGAAGATCGTTAGGGTCCTTGAGGTCCACTTTATGATCCCACTTCTTAGACTCAGGGAATCGAGTAGACTCTTCTTTGGAGAAGACCTTAAGATAGTCATGGAGCCAGTCTGGCACCATTTCCTCTATGGGCTTCTTTTCCTTCTTCTTCTCCTCCTGCTGCGCTAACTCTGATGCTACAGAGCTCTTGTACCTGATCCACACGTTCCATGATGAATCCTCATCCTCTACCTCCTCTATACTAGGCACATTCTTGGTAGCTCCGTGTCCAACAGTAGTAGCAAGGTCCAATTGTTCTTCTTCCTCAAGCCTGACAGGTATAGTACCCACATGTCCTTGCATTTTAGAGCTGAGGCTGTTCGACTGAACCTGATGATGGATAGAGGCTTCCTCAATATCCTCATCTTCATCATCTTCTGCCAGTATCAAATCGGGCAACACCGAAGGGATCGAAAAGTTCGTGGCTTTTCGCTTCTTCGCCTTGGTCTTTTTGTCCTTGACCTTGGCTTCTTGACACTTGACTGGGCAACGGTCTAATGCCACCCTTCCTGCATTCCAATCGATACTAGGGTTGTGGTATCGTAGCCAATCTATTCCAATGATGACATCATCGGTTCCTAGATCTGTGATCAGAAAGGCCACTTCTTCCTCATGATCCCCTATCATAAGCTTCAAATCTGCATAACTCGTAATTGGTCCAGCAGAATTGTCTGTTTCGTCAATATTACGAATCGACATTGCTCTTAACAACTGCTTGGTTTGGACTTGATTCTTTTTAACAAACTTTTCACTGATAAAGAGGTTTGTTGCTCCAAAGTCCACTAGAGCATTGACAGCTGCTTTCTTGTGTTTCCCTTGCCAACATAACTGGCAAGTAGAAATGGTCTCGTTTATTCCCAGAACAAACTTCTGATACTTCTGCAAACATAATTGCTGAGTCACCGAGAACTGATCTAAGTTCACAGTCAACTTCGATCCTCCTAAAAACCCTTTTGTTCCTCTTTCTTCGCTGGGTTATACATGCTGGAGAGGCAGATCCTCTCGTTAACGATGCGGTTGATATCTTCCACTGTGAGTGCCTTCACCGCAGGAACTTCTTCCACCTTGCTGGTGCGGACAGCTGGTCCTTTGCCTTTGTCAAGGGGCTTTCCCATGCAGTTATGAGCCATATGCCCTTCTTCTCCACAGCGGTAGCACTTGAAAACACCTCCCGGTTGTCCTTGAGGTCGGGGTCTAGCTCCTGTCCTGGTTGCATCAACGTCCATCATGTTTCCTCCTTGCAACATGGTCTTGGGTGCTCCAGCTGGTGCAGGTGGTGCAGCAGAGCCTTGCCAAGGTCGTTGTGGGGCGAAGTTCATCTTCCTCTCGTCGTCAAGTTCCTCAAGGTTCTGCCCGATTAGGAGCGCCTCCCTGATCAATCCCTCCAGGGTGTCTTTCCTGTTAGGGTGGATGTTGGCCAAGTAGTTTTTAACTCAGTTGGTCCAATCCAAAGTGGAGTTTGCACATTAACTTGTAATCAGAGAAGTGACAGAAGGCGAGCTTCTGGCGGAAGATGGAGATGTACTCCCCAACTGTACGATTGCCTTGTCGGAGAGCTTCCAACTCTCTTGCTGCCTTCTCTTCCTTGTTGACGACGGTCCACATGACCTTCATGTCGCTGATGATGCTAGCA